TTCAGGTTTTATTCTTAAGTCTTTAATCCACTTTGAGTTGATTTTGGTACATGGTGAGAGGCACATGTTTAGTTTCATTCTTCTGTATATGGATGTCTAGTTTTCCCAGCATCATTTATTGAGGAGGCAGTCTTTTCCACAATGTATGTTCTTGTTGTCTTTGTCAAAGATCAGTCGGCTGTAAGTATGTGGGTTGATTTCTGGGATCTCTATTCTGCTCCATTGGTCCAAGTGTCTATTTTAATGCCAGGACCATGCTGTTTTGGTTGCTATAGCTGTGTAGTATAATTTGAAGTCAGGTAGTGTAATGCCTCCAGCTTTATTTTTCTTGCTCAGGATTGCTTTGGCTATTTTGGGTCTTTTGTTGTTCCATATGAATGTTAAGATTGTTTTTCTATTTCTGTCAAGAATGTCATTGGTATTTTGATAGGGATTGCATTGAATCTGTAGATTGCTTTGGGTAGTATGGACATTTTCACAATGTTGATTTTTCCAATCCAAGAGCATGGAATGTATTTCCACCTTTTTGTCTTCTTTAATTTCTTTCTATAGTGATTCATGGTTCTCTTTGTAGAGATCTTTTGCCTCCTTGGTTAAATTGATTACAAGGGTTTTATTTTTGGTAATTGTAAATGGGCTTACTTTCTTGATTTCTTTTTCTGCTAGTTTGTTATTAGAGAATAAAAATGCTACCGATTTTGGAGTGTTGATTTTGTGTCCTGAAACTTTACTGAAATCATTTATTAGTTCTAAGAATTTTTTGGTACAGTCTTTAGGTTTTTTAATATATACAATCACGTCGTCTGAAAACAGGGACAGTTTGACTTCATCTTTTTCTGATTTGGATGCCCTTCATTTCTTTTTCTTGCCTGATTGCTCTGGCTAGTACTTCCAATACTATATTAAATAGGAGTGATGAGAGTGGGCATCCTTGTCTTGTTCAGATGGTATTGGTGGTGGGTTTGTCCTATATATGTCTTCTCTGAAATGCTTTTCTCTGTCTTTCTTTTTAAATATCATGTGATAGATCATTAAACTCAGAATTGGAATCATTAAGTACAAAGAGATGTTTCTGTTTTTTAATGGCAGGAAGACATGTACTTCAAATCTCTCAAAAGGGGAAGAGAAATCCATTCCTTCCATACAAGAAAGGAACAGTTAGGTTCCCATATTCTCCATGGAATAGACAGAGTGATTTTACAAAATGTAAAGTAAACCCAAATCATCTCCCTTGACCATGAGCATTGAGTTCTATCTTTCCCACCAGTGTCAGGGACCTTGAAGAGGGTGTCCTGCTTACCTCACAGAACTCAGCTCCTCTTGCTCTTGTTCTGGTTCAGCTCATTCTTCCTCTGTGGCCTTGAAAGCACTAAGCTTGTTGCCTCCTCAGCCATCAGGTTCACCCCCCATCCTTTGCACTTGCTGTTCCCTGAACCTAAAATGCTCTCCTCCACCCAACAACCCCACCACCACCTTCGGCTGACTTGTTTGACTCAACATTCAGGTCTCTACTCAAATGTCACCTCCTCAGGAAGGAATTCTTTCCTTACCACCCTGTCTAAAAGAACATGTCCTCTCACGCCCTGTCAGTATTTGACCCATTTCTGCTTTATTTTATTTCACAAACCTTTTTATTCCCTGAAATTATATTTTTATTTGTCTACTTTTTTAGTGTCAGTCTCCTCTAACAAATTTAAACAGCATAAGGCAGACCCAGTTTTACTTGCTTACTGCAGTAGCCACAGAATTTGCATACCAGTGGTCTGACTCCAAAAATCCCTAGAAACAATGGGATTTTTGGAGTCAGACCACTGGTGTGCAAATCCTACCTGACCATTTAGTAGATTTATGTCCTTGGGCAAGGTAACTCCATTTCCTCATCTGTAAATTGAGCAGAGTACTAGTGCACACTTACTTTGTAGGAGTTATTCTTAGAATTAAATGAGATGATACATCTAAAAGTCGTAACAGTGTATGGCACATATAAGTGGCTTATAACAAATGGTGTTAGTTATTTTTATTATTGGCATATAGAATTTTCACAAAGAGAAAGTTGCTCAGAAATCTGTAACTTTTGGAACTTTGGAGTCTTTTGAATGTTGTGTTTGTCTTAGGTTCTTGCTCATCGTGGTGGCTACTGGACTCTGCTTCAGAATTGCTGTCGGGCCTTCTGGAACTTTACTCAAGAGCTACAAATACTTCTTAAACAGGCACTGGATCTTTATAAAACATTTCCTATTAGTCAGGATGGTTTCCTTTGTACCTCTGTTTTACCATTCTATTTGGGAGCAGAATTACTTATTGACATGTTAATACAACTACAAAATACCAATTCTATTAAGGTAAGGACATTTTAATAATTATTTTTATTGTATTTACTTTAAGAATATCCTTGTACTGTGAAGCTTGGGATAAGTAGAAATTGATGTATTTCATTTGCTTCTCATTATTTTGTTCACAATACATAACTTGCATTGTTATTACTGAAAAAAATCTTAGCCTGAAAATTTAGTTTGTTAAAAGGAAGGGAAGGTATATTAGTCCATTTTGTGTTGCTATGACAGAAATACCTGAGACTGGATAATTTATAAAGTACAGAGGTTTATTTGGCTTGTGATTCTGGGACAGCTGCATCTGGCATGGGCCTCAGGCTGCTTCTACTCATGGCAGAAAGCAGCAGGCACCCAGTGGGTACAAGCAGATCACATGGCGAGAGGAAGCAAGAGAGAGAGAGAGAGAGAGAGAGAGTGGGGGGCGTGCCAGGGGTTTTTAAACAACCAGCTCTTATGGGAACTAATAGAGTGAGAACTCACTCATTAATCCCCCTACCTAGGGAGAGCATTAATCTGTTCATGACGGATCCACCCCCATGACTCAATCAGTTTCCAACACTGCCACATTGGGGATCAGATTTCCATG